GCCCTTGACTCAACAAATTTATCAACGACGGCCTGCAGCACTGAAAGAAGATAGTATCCATAAGCTTGAACATCAGCCACGCCTCTTTGACATGGTTCAAAGACATACCATCATCCAAGGCATCCGGGACCTCAACTGTCCAGAAGAGCTTATATGAATATCTGTAAACTCTTTCCGTGTACGTGTTATTGTATAAATTTTTCATTTTTGTAATATATTTCCTTATATTTTTACTACACAAGTTTATATTTTTAATTATGATTTTGTACTATTTGTGTAATATATATGTTTATATTTTCAATAGTTTTCACATGTTGTAATAACCAAATTTATATTTTGCATAGGCTACTTTATATTTTGTTCTCAGACTGTTAAATAAATATTTATTATAATTTTTTCAAACCTTGCTATTCACCCGATATTCCCCTAAAGACTCTTTTCTATCCAACCTACCTCCGATGAAATTGGCCTTGAAAGGAGCAAGATTTAGCAACGTAGAAACAAATGGAGTATTTCTTCGGACCAATTTTACGCGTATTCCGTATTAAATAAAGTCGTATGAAGCATTATATAGGCGCCAAAAGAGAGTTATTTAAAGAGAATATAAATATATGTTTGTTAAAATAAATGGTAATGACCCCATACCCAAAACTGTTTGAGATACACCAATACCTCGCTTTGCGTCGTTTCGTTTTGCGTTTTTTCGAAGTTGCGTCGCTGCTTAATTTTTACTGATTTTCACTGTGCGTCGTTAGATTTTCGAAGTTGCGTTGTTTTGGATTCGAGTCTTTATTATTATTATTATTTTTTTTTAACTTTTTTTCCTAAAATATGGCAACACTTTTGTTTTTGATTGCGCCTTCACATATTTTCACTTTGCGTCGTTTCAATTTGCGTCATGTTTTTTTTTTTTTTTATATATTTTGTATAGTTTTGCATGTGTTCTGTGTGTATTTTCTATGTATTAATGAATATTTGTGGAGGAATGCTATCCCATTTAAGGCAAGATACTATTATAGGTATCATAGCACTCCTATGGTATATCTTGTTTTAGATGGGGGCTTTCATTTCGTCGCCCTGAAGGTAAGTTGCATGCAGTTCTACGTGTTGTGAGAATATTGAAAACTGGCTCTTGTTGCAACTTCAGAGGCATGATTTGTGAAGCTGTACACGTTGTGAGGACTGTGCGTGTTTAATGAACCAGCATATGAGGTATTGGACTGTTCAAATTATTAGAAAATCGTATGAAATGAACCTCAAACATATTGTTAAAATATGAAATTTTTAATGACAAGCCACAATTTGGATTGTAGATTATAAACACAAGGTAATAAGACCAAATCCAAATAAATAATTGGTGTGCGACGTTTCGGTAACATCGTTGTTATCGAAACGTCACACACTAATTATTTATTCGAATTTGGTATTATTACCTTGTGTTTATGAAAAATTTTAATTAAGTATGTGATGTGTTGAAATATATATATAATTGCATTACATTTTTTAAAAATGCAAATGGAATGCCTTCTTTATTTTTAATATCAAAACCTGACACACTTATCTTTTATTTTTTTCTATTGTTTTTTCATATACATATATATATTTATAATACAATATAATATATTGCGGCTTATGATTGTAGAACGAAATTTGACAATTATACCGCAAATTTTTTGAACGAAATTCCCATCCCTGGACACTTTATTTTTCCGTTTATCATTACTCTTCACAATTCATCCTATCATACTTCATCTCTAAGGTTAGAAATAATCGTTATTTGTCCTTAATATAAATTTCGATTTTTCGTTCAAAAGAAACATTTGCGGTATAATTGTCAAATTTCGTTCTGTATATAGTTGTATGATGTACATGTAAGAATATATAGCACATTTTTATTTACTAATTTTTAGTTTTGTGGTTATTGTAAATATTAATCATAAAATATTTTCTCTGATATATCATTTTGACAATTTATATCAATATATCATTTATATTCGGAAACACTATGACACATGCCTTGTGAAATTGTAAGGAGGTCAAAACAACTGTTGACTTGAGTTAACGAAGTGAAGATCTAAGGACTAGATAACACTTTCAATAAAATAGCCCAACTCAATAATCCTTTCATTCAATATTAAGGTGAAAGCATCACGCTTCCAGATAAATTTTATTTAAAAAAAATGTAATATATATAGGTTTCAGGCATGGAAGCCCTTCTACAGAAGAAAACATACGATAAGATACAATAGTTGTATCGTATGTTTTCTCCTGTAGATGGGATTTGATACCCGAAGGCTAGAGATATGATTTAGGATTTTAAAAAGAAACTTATTCCTGGATGTCTGAGGTTTCACGATATTCTTTGCACAAAGTGCGCGGATTCAGGTCGGAGAATATGCCACGACACCAATCTTTTGGTAGAATTTGGTGTTGGGCATATTTACCCATCTGAGTCTGAGGGCTCTTTGCACATAAAATATCGACAACTGCATTTTTTACTGAATTTTAAATGTAGATATGCCCTGTATTTTGCAAACCAGAATGGAAAAAGTAAAATAAATTGTAAAAACTAAAATTATTTCGTTTATTATTATATGGATAGTTTTCTCGAGCAACGAATCGCTATTACAATTGTTTGAAATTCGGTAAAACAGCTACAGAAACGAATGCTTTAAAGAGGCGTATGGAGATGAATCTCAAACCAGCGCAAAAGTTTCAATTGGTATGCCTACTTTAAAAATTGAAGAAAAATACCTTTGACGAAGTTCGACTTAGTCAATCAGGCATTATCAGAAACTAGGTAAATATCGAGAAAATCAAAAGCCTTTTGCGATAAAACCATAGAATGACAAGCAGATTTAGCAGACAAATAGAGATATCGTAGGGGGTGCAATCAATGATAAGCTCTTATTTGAATATACTTATAGAGTAGCAACTCAGTTTATCCCAAATTGTTAACAATTTAACAACGAGAGGCTAGACTTTCAATTTGCGAAAACCTTTTGGAAAGCTACCGGAATACCCGAGACATACTGAAACAAATAATCACAGGTGTGATGAGAGAGAATATGGTTTTACGGGCTTCTAACCGAAGCGTATGATTTTTGAGCCCATAAAAAGTGGCAGCGGTGGGATAGGTATAATGAGATATGGGTTTACGCTTATGATCCAAATACAAAACGCCAGTCAAGTGAACGTGGGCAACCAAGACCCAAAAGATAAGGAAAAAATGAAAAATCAAAATTGTTTCGATCATATTTTTCAATGCTCGACCTCACAAGGCTCACGGTTGCTCAATATTTGGCGAAGAACGGAACCCTCGAACTTCCTCACCCTCCCCACTCCCATGAACTCTCTTCCACTGACTTTTTCTCTTCCCTAAGAAAAAACTTTCTTGAAGGTTAAACATTTTTCAGATATATAAGCGCGATTCTAGTAAATTCGAAGAAAAAGTTAAGAACCTTCCGAAAAACGAATTTGTTCTATGTTTTGAGTAGCTGAAATAGGGATGGGAACGTTGTTGTGTAGCGCAAAGATCATACTTTGAAGAAAACTTGTTATTATTTTTGTATGTCTACTATAAATAAAATTCTAACAACCTTGTCTTCCTACTTGATGATCACACCTTGCATATAAGGGTCGCCTCTCCCGTCAAAATAAACGTCAAAACTAGATGCCCACTATTGACTGTCGCCGCAAACTAGCGGCCTCGGGTAGGTGACAAAGCCACAACACTAGCTTTGAAAAACTGAGAAGCGTCCACCTGGAGATCATAGTTTCGAGCTAATGGCTCTCTTCATCCCAGGGTGGACTTTATTTCATGAGATCCACAAGGGATTTAATGGGAAATCTTCACAATACGCCAAAGAGGTGTTTAGGTGGCAAAGCGTCTAAACCAAATCTATGGATAAAATATATATTATATTACTTTATATAATAACAACTTTTATTTTAATTAAGCCAAAACGATGAAAGGTGGAAAAGAATAAAAATGTACTTCAAATATCAAGAAGCCAGGAAAACCCTCTACAAAAACAAGATTCCCAAAGCCCCAAAATTCGGAACCCAAAGATATTGATACCATAATTTAATTTTAAATGAACCATTGTATATAACCATCCCCCACACATTAATGTAAATGTGATGATCTTGGTTGCTCTTTTTGAGCGGCACCTAATAAAGTTATTTTGGAACTGAACATAAAAGTTGAGGGAGGATGATATTCATATACCAAAAGAGGCACCTCTCTCTTTAATTATGTATTAAAACAATGCATTATTTTTATCATTCCAGTAACAAACTTCATTGGTGACGATAAGGAATGAGCTATAACACCAATTTTGATAAATTTAAACAAAAATCAACTTGTATACCATCGGCTCGGGCTATGGCCCTCATCGGTACAGGGCCGTTTCGATTTCATAACATCCTATGAGAGGAATTTTGAAAGCGGTCAAATTTACCCATAATGCATTGTTCTAATGCATAATTAAAGGGAGAGATTCTCCCGTAACTTTATATTCTAGCCTGAAACTCGGTCCCCCACGAACACCTTTTTTAAAAAAGTTGAACCGATATCACCATTCCTATCGTAGGATGTTATGAAATGGAACTTTAGGTATACATCTAATCATATGACATGCCACTTAAACATTTTTTATCCCCCCTCCGATAAATCAGCCTTGAAAAAGTAAATTTTGTTACCGCTGGACCAATTGAAGAAAAGGTTGTATAGGTGAATAAAGGGAGTGCAGAATATAAGTATATCTTTGTTATTACACATACCCAAGCCTTCTTGACCATACATTGTATAATTATTTAAATAAGCTCTATTGAAAATGTTAAACTGTTTTTGTATAGGTTTGCGTGCTCGAAAATTGTCCACGCCTTCTTGACCATACATTGTATAATTATTTAAATAAGCTATATTGAAAATGTTAAACTGTTTTTGTATAGGTTTGCGTGCTCGAAAATTGTCCATTAATGAATATATTGGAGGGAGAGCTACACTATTTAAGGCGAGATATTATTAAAGGTATATTAGCGAAGCCCTTTGATATATCTTGTTTTAAACAGTGGCTTTCATTTCGTCGACTTAAAGGTAAGTTGCATGTAGCTCTTCGTGCTGTGAGAATATTGATAAACTGGCTCTTTTTCAATTTCATAGGCATGATTGACTGCGCTCCTTGCAAGACCTGTGCATGTTTCATGAACCAGCATGAGGGATGGTTCATATTGCTTGAAGGTCCTTTGACATGAACCTCAAACATAATGTTGAAATATAGAAATATTTTTATTTATATTTTCGCGTTACACACACATAAACAATTCAAGAGAGGCAAATGATATTTTATAGCCAAATATCAGGGAACAGGCTAATTCAACGTTTAGTTTGGTGGGTAGAGGTAGGCGACTGCTTTTACTGTAAGTGCACTACATGTCTACACATGTAAAAAACAGTTGTATAGGTGAATAAAGAGAGTAAAGAATGTAAGTATATCTTTGTTATTACACATACCCAAGCCTTCTTGACCATACATTGTATAATTATTTAAATAAACTCTATTGAAATTGTTACACTGTTTTTGTATAGGTTTGCGTGCTCCAAATTGCCCATTTATGAATATATTGCAAGGAGAGCTACACTATTTAAGGCGAGATATTATTAAAGGTATATTAGCGAAGCCCTTTGATATATCTTGTTTTAAACGGTGGCTTTCATTTCGTCGACTTAAAGGTAAGTTGCATGTAGCTCTACGTGCTGTGAGAATATTGATAAACAGGCTCTTTTTCAATTTCATAGGCATGATTGACTGTGCGCCTTGCAAGACCTGTGCATGTTTCATGAACCAGCATGAGGGATGGTTCATATTGCTTGAAGGTCTTTTGACATGAACCTCAAACATAATGTTGAAATATTGTTGCACTGGGCTTCGGTTTGGCAGATTCTTCAGTCTTGAGTCTCTCCTCAGACGTGTCTTGCATCTTTCCAGAACGTGTCTCAACCATCCTACAAGGTTAAACCAGTGAATAATAAGACAACTACAGTGGACCCTCGGTTTACGAGCACCTTGGAGTACGAGCTTTTCGCAGTACGAGAAAAATTTTTTGAAAAATTTTACCTCGGATTACGAGTGAAATTTCGCATTACGAGCAACTCGTGATGGTTGCCCGTAATCGTGATGGATGAAAATTCACTGGGATCCCTCCCTTCAGATCAGATTCGGGAAATATGTAAAATGTGGGAAACTGTGCAATTGTTCGTAGCAAGAAGAATTGCCCGAGTTTCAATTATTAAAAATAAGAAATTAGTTTCGCACTACGAGCGTTTTGGAGTACGAGCATGGCTCTGGAACGGATTATGCTCGCAAACCGAGGGTCCAATGTATATATTTAGGTAGCATCTAGAATCTCTCTTTATTTATCACATCAAAGTTTAAAGCAGGTGGGGTATTTAGTGTATCAAAATACAAATGTTTTATAGTACATAATATTTTATAGTAATAATATGTTTTATAAAAATAAATAAATGTATAATTTAAATATATTTAAATCTATATATATATCAGTGTCGGGCAACCGGTGTGCCGTGGCACACTGGTGTGCCGCGAAGAATTCTAGGTGTGCCGCGAACATTTTTGTAGGTATTTAGAACTTTTGGTTAAATATAAAAATAATGTTTCAAAAAATATTTTTTATAATTTTTCTTCAATTTTAATAATTTTTTTCAAAAATTTTCATATAAAAAATGAAATTTAAAAAAAGCAAATTTCATTTTATATAAAACTTATTTTGGTATTATAATTACAACAGTTTGCATAATTTTATATTTCATATAACCTATGTACATAATCTTGACGTACATAACTGGCACGTGCCATTATTAAAAAATAAAAATGCAAATAGGTACGTACCTATTTAAAATCATAAGTTAAAAAAAAAAAACAATCCGCGAAAACAACTTTATTTAATAAAGTTGAATACATACTGCGGGAAAATACCTAATTTTTAAAATAATATGTCCAAACTTAACCGTCATTTACAATCTTTGTCACAGCTGTTTATTAATAGAGACTCAAAGCTACAAAGCTTAAAAAAAAAAAGAAAACAAAAAAAAATGATAAATTTATTTAAAAAATTTATTCGGAGTTTTCGTCAAAGTATTGCTGTAGTAATTCTTCTTTTTTTGCATGTTGTAAAACACACACACATTCACACAATAAGTTTTGTACACCGTAAAATCTGTTGGTTAAAAAAAGGAAAAAAATATTTTTGTTACGAAATTCTCACTCAACTTAGTAATGCGGCCATCGAATCATTGTTGCCAATTGGAAGTTCCTACCTGTGTGAGCAAGGTTTTTCAACACTCACAGAAATGAAGTCTAAGAAGCGCGAAAGACTTCAAATGATAGATGAGGAGATGCGCGTTTGTCTTTCACAAGTAGATCCCCGTATTGATTTGATATGCTCTCAAAAACAATCGCAATGCTCGCATTGATTATGTTAATTTAATATTGAAAATTAATAAAATGTGATATATATGTTTAAATTTTTACTAGTATTTATTGTTGTATTTTAATTACCTACGAGGAAATTTATAGTGAGAACCACAGGTGCGCCGCGAAAAAAAGAAATTAAGCTTAGTGCGCCGCAACTCGAAAAAGGTTGCCCGACACTGATATATATAAAATTGAATGTCTGTCTGTTTGTTTGTACTCTATAGATTCAAAAACCATACATCCAATCGCCGTAAAATTTTGGGATATTATTAGGCATATCACCGGGAAGGTTTTTGAAAAATAATTTCATGAATATCTTGAATATCCTTAGAGTTACTTGCAGATTTGTAGATTTAACTCGCAAGCAGCGCCCCCATTGTGACGATGATAACAAGTTTTCTTATCACTAAGTTTGTTATCTTAAATATTATTTATCAAAAGTAAGATTATCTCAGGATGACACGGCAATGTGACACGGGAAAAAATGTTCACTAGATAAAACTATGATTTTCTATATGATATAAAAAGCCAACAATGAAGAGTGAATGTAATATAAAACGCCAACAATGAAGAATGAATGTAAGATAAAAAGCCAACAATGAAGAGTGAATGTAATATAAAAAGCCAACAATGAAGAATGAATGTAAGATAAAAAGCCAACAATGAAGAGTGAATGTAAGATAAAAAGCCAACAATGAATAGTAAATGTAATATAAAAAGCCAACAATGAAGAATGAATGTAAGATAAAAAGCAAACAAAGAAGAGTAAATATAATATAAAAAGCCAACAATGAAGAGTGAATGTAAGATAAAAAGCCAACATTGAAGAGTAAATGTAATATAAAAAGCCAACAGAGTGAATGTAAGATAAAAAGCCAACAATGAAGAGTGAATGTAATATAAAAAGCCAACAATGAAGAATGAATGTAAGATAAAAAGCCAACAATGAAGAGTGAATGTAATATAAAAAGCCAACAATGAAGAATGAATGTAAGATAAAAAGCCAACAATGAAGAGTGAATGTAAGATAAAAAGCCAACAATGAAGAGTAAATGTAATATAAAAAGCCAACAATGAAGAATGAATGTAAGATAAAAAGCCAACAATGAAGAGTAAATATAATATAAAAAGCCAACAATGAAGAGTGAATGTAAGATAAAAAGCTAACAATGAAGAATGAATGTAAGATAAAAAGCCAACAATGAAAAGGAAATCTCTCTCTATATATATATATATATATATATAAAAGTCAATTTCTGTCTGTCTGTCTGTTTCGCGATAAACTCAAAAACTACTGAACCAATTGGTACCAAATTTTGCATGTCGCTTTTTATAAACCTGAGGAAAATTTTCGGCTGCATTTTGATTAGTATTTTTGGCTATTTCTTTTTTTCATTTGAAGAACCTTTTTTTACGCGGACTAATCTGGAATGGAATGAATACCTAAATATGGCCTTTTTTTGGCATCATTTACGAGTTTCAAATTATCAAAATATATCTTTTTTATTTTTTAATAAGTTTTTAGAGAATTGTTTTAACAAATGTTCGCTAGACAAACCTTTATTCGGGTAAAACCCCGGGCGATGCCGAGTACGTTTTATAAGTTTAAAGAGAATTGTTTTAACAAATGTTCGTTAGACAAACATTCACTCGGGTAAAACCCGGGCGAAGCCGGGCACATCCGCTAGTTAATATTATAAATAATTTTAAAAATACGCGCATTAATCATGATGCAACACTTCCTCCTCTCCAGAGGTCGTCACGTCCTCGTGAGTGACCTCATCAATTCTTTAAAAATAGGGTTTGAGTCTTGAGACATGGACAATCAATGGGTCTTGGCCAGGATTATCTTTCGGCTCAATTAAGTAATTTACGTTGGACAGCTTCTTTAATATTCGATATGGGTCAAAATATTTTCTCAATAGTTTTTCACATTTTCCGGACTGGTGTCCAAACTGCCACTAAATGTCCTGGTTCATAGATTCTCTCGTTGTGTTTTTTGTCATAGTGTCTTTTCATTCTTTCCTGAGTCTTCTCTGTTGTTAATTACTACCTGTCTCGTCCTTGCTATTTTATCTAAGTAATTTTCTATATATTCGTCGTAATCGTCCATGTTATTGTCCATTGGGATATTGTTGGACACCTGCGCCGCCACTCAAGTATAACACGTGACCGGAAGGATGACGTCGGCACCCCCCCCCCCCCCCTCCTACTGACTTTAAAAAGTTTAGCCTAACGACGCAGTTGTTTGTTCACCTTCTATGGAGGATGTAACCTCTTTGTTTCCTCTCTTTCCCTTTTAATCTTTATATAACCTATGCTTTAATAAATTAGTTAGTGCAAGGCTCTTGTCCTATGTGTAACCAAGTACCTTGTCTACACCCCTACAAGAAAAAATTATGAGACTGATTGGAGCTGCCTGAAGCATTGAACGGTAAGCCTATTCTTTTGTTCTCTCTCTCCCCCCCCCTTCAGTGGACGCCATCTTATAATGGAAGCTAACGAAAGTTTAACGAAAATTACCAAGCTAAATGGATTAAACTATTCCTCATGGAGCTTCCAAATTAAGCTCATTCTGATGGACAA